TTTCATAATCCTTTTGGGTAATCATCCTCCTTTCCTCCGCCAGAGTGAGTAAGGGATTGGGAACTTCACTAACCAAATTTTCTTCCATTTGCTTCGGAAGTGATTGACCCACAGGTTCACTTCAAGAATGGGTCGCATTAGTAAACCCAATTACTTGGTTAATAGGGTCATTTCTATGAGCGTTATACTGTCCGAGCTTATAGGATGGATAATTAGTCATTCCTAGAAAAATCGCAATATTTCCTGCATTTTTTTTCATTCAATAACCTGGACTAGGCAACTGGTTAAGTTTATTAATTAGCCTTGAAAAACCCAAAGTCTTTCGATTATCAATAATTTTTGGGTTAATATTTACTTCCTCATTGTCGCTCTCATTGTCGCTACTATTGGTTGAGTTTTCTTCTCCAAGTTTAGCTTTCAGTTTGTCAATTTCACTTAATGCCGCTAGTAACTGAAAAAATTTTTGTTGTTGTTGATGATTAATTCGGTCAATTTCTCATTTTCTTTCGAGTGCTACCCTAGCTAATTCTCTTTCCGAAGCTCCTAGTTTTTTGTGGGTTTCTCACAGTGCTTTTCTTGTATTGGCAAGTCGCCTTTCTAAATCCTTATGTTGCCATACTTCACAAGGTTTTTTCTTTTCTAACTTGAATATTTTCTGCATCATCCCTATATTTTCTTTCCGTAATTTAAAAGTTACACCCGCTTCTTTTTCTATCTGCTCATTTAAGTTTTCCAAGTCTGCCCCCGCTTGAAATAACTCTGTTTCTAACTCTTCAATTTTTGCTTTTAAATCTTCTACTACTCCATAATCTCCTGCTGCCACCTTATTTCAATTCTTATTTATCCGGGTAATTTTTTCTTGGGCTTCTTTGAGTTCCTCCTTAACTTGCTTATATTTGTCTTGAAGTCCCATGAATTCTACTCCGACCTGTTTAGCTTTTTTGTTTCAAAATTTACACTTCTTTTTCATTAAAGCTGGGAAATCCACGGTTTGCTGGTAAACTTGATATTCGTCTCTTAATCTCTCTTCATCGCCCTCATTTAAAAACCTTTCGGTAGTCATTCGTTTAATGTCTCGCAACCACCTGGCAAAACTAGCATCAGTTATCTGTAATCCAGTATTTATTCACTCCCTGCACTCTGCTCGGTTAAATTCATTTTCTTCTCACTCCTTTTGTAATTCCTCGGTAAATTCTAAACTAATATTCTTTCAATTCGTTTCCACTTCTTTTTTAACCTCTTTATCCTTACTTTTATAATTACTAATCTTTTCTTTAATAATAGCATTTTGTTTCAACGAAAAAACTTCTCGCTCTAATTCGGCAATTATTCTATCCTTAAGTCTACAATTTTTATGTTTTTCACTTTTATTTTCTTTTTGGGATAAATTATTTTCGGTTCCTAGTATCTGTTCTGGTTCTTCATAGAAAATGAAAGGGCTAGATTTGCTTTGTTTTTTTAATAAATTATTTTCTTTCTTTAATCTTTCATGTTCCGAAAGTAATCACTTAATATAATTCTCTTTTTTTCCTTGGTTAATTACATCTTTACTTTCCGCTAGCAAAGTCTGAGTTTTTTTAGCATAAGCTCCTAATATTGTATCCTCTTCTGCCAAATCTTCGAGATTAAAGGAACTACCGAAAGAAGAAAATATTTCGCTCGGTCGGCTACTACTTTTAAAACTATTGTTTCGAACCATAAGGAGCGGTCTATTACTTGAACCTTCCGAAGCTCGGCGAGTTTTCCGGCTGGGAGTTTTGAATTTAAGTTGGGGTGATAATTGGTTATTTAAAAGTTCCTCTAATCTAGCTATTTCCCTATTTAAACTTATGTTTTCTGCCTCAAATTCTCTATTAGAAGTTTCTAATTTACTATTTCAATCTTCTAAAAAAACTCGGCGAGTTTCTGCCTGGCGGGTTCTTTTTTCTAAATTATCTATTTGTAATTGATAACTCCTTTCCAAAATGGAAAGTCTAGCCCTTGCTACTTCGCTGGGATTAGTTTCGGAAGAATAAGGAAAATAACCCGAAGAACGTTTTTTGAGAGAGGGATTAGTAGTAGGGGAATTAGTAGTAGGGGAATTAGTAGTAGGGGAATTAGTAGTAGGGGAATTAGTAGTAGGGGAATTAGTAGTAGGGGAATTAAAGTATTGAACAAGTTCGTTTGTTTGGTTTTTTGTAAGTTCAATTGTCGAAAGTTCAAAAGCTAAATTAAAAGTATTCCGCGGACTGACTTTTGCGGTAAGAACCGAAGTCGAATTTCTTTTGGAGGAACTATCAGAATTACTATTACTTCACATGCTATTACGTCGCGAAAGCCTCATGTCTTTATTCATTTCCTCACGCATTAAATCCCGAGTTAACTCTGCTAATTCTTTATCATGGTTTTTTTTAATTTCATTAATCTCTTTTTCTAGTTGTTGGATAGTAACTCAGGACTCTGTGAAATTTTCTTCCATTTTTTTGAATTTTTCCTCATTTATCTCTTTTTGATTTCTTTCTGTTTCCAACTCTCAAGCAAGTTCTTCATTAGTTTTTACCAATTCTTCTTCCGTTGCTCGGCTTAAACTTAATTCCTCCTCTAATTTTAAATAATTATTACCGATTTCTTCCCAAGTTTCCTTGGCTTTTTCTCAATCTTTTAATTGGAATAAATATTTTTCCTTTTCGGCTTTTAAACAGTCTAATTCATTGCTTATTCGCTTCCATTTAGCATCATTATTTTCTTGGCGTTTTTTTAGTTCGATTTTTAAAGTATCGTTTTCAGTTTTTAATTCAGTATTTGTTCGGTGAAATTCGTTTAATTCCGCTCGGTAGTCCTCTACTTGGGTCTCTAACCGGTGAATTTGGGGGCGATAATCAATAGAAGTTCGACTTTCTAAATTGCTATCTAAATCATTCAGTAAGGTAGATAAATCTTCCTCTAAGAAAGCACATAAACGAGTTAAAAGTTCATTATAAGTATTGTAAAAATTTTCGGCAAAATTAGTTTGATTTATTGAGGGAATTGTATTAAGAACAAGTTCGGTTAAACATGCTCCAACTTGCTCCATCACTGCTTTTTTTTCTTTTTCGATTAATTCTTTAAGTTGCTTTATTTTAGGGTTATTTATATTTAATTCAGGCATGAGAAAAATATTTATGAGTTTATACTTAGGTTTACCTAAGTCGGGAGAGCAAGAACTCTCCCTGTTTTTTTTTTTTTTTTTGTTAAATCAACGGCTAAATTGATAAGCTTGATAAACTTTTAACTTCTCTCCCAGTTGCTGATATGTTTTTTCAATGTCCTCAGTTCGCTCAGGAATTAGGTAGGAGTAAGAACGAAAATAATCTAATTTAGCACAGAGAGCACTGATTTCAGAGAGCGGAATAGTTTCCGCTTCCGTCAAGAGATTATTAAGATAGATAGTAAAAATTCTAGTTAAACTCTGGGCAAGTTCTGACGGGGGGACAACTAGCTAATGCCCCAAAAGCTGGGGAACTAAAACTTTGAATTAATTGTTGAAGACGAGAGATAGTTCGCTTCCGTATTAACTGATAAGGTAAAGGGTCATAATTAGTCGGGTCAATTTTGCGGGCTAATTCTAACCAATCGTTTAAGTCTAAAATCCGAAGTAATCTTTGGAGGGCTTGAACTTGTTGTTCGTTAGTAAAACAGGATGGTTCTGGGGTTCAACTTTCCAAAATTAGGAAATGGTGGAGGCGAGTCAGTAATTTATCGGTAAAGGAGGAAGGACTAAATAAAGGGTCTTCGCAATTAGTAAGCAAAAAATTAATCTCCTCGGCAAAAAGTTCACTGGTAAAATTAAATCTGGTTAGGATAAAATTAATTTGGTTGATTGATTTTTGAAATACTTTATTATTCATATTCATAACGGCATATTTAATTATATTTTTTATACTTTATATTGAATAGTTTATATATTGAATAGTTTAT